GCCGGTAAGTTCATGTTTGCCGCGGTATTTGATCACGCTCCACGATAGTACACGAAGTGCAAGAGTAAGTAAAGGACGGGCCTTATATTGACATACCCGGCCTGGTCGTCACGGCCGCTATTCTCTTAATTTCTCCTTCGCACCTCACGCATTGTCATGCGCGGTCGAGTCCAAGCTTCTCGCCTAGGTGCGAAGCACCTGGAGTCTCCTGGCAAAGCAAGGGTCCCCTATAGTTCGTGGGGTGTAGCACTGTAAAAGCTCACGTGTGAGGTAAATAATATGCCGGCAACCGTGGGCAACGTTGCCAGATGCCCCGGTTTTCCCAGCCCCAGACAAGTGGCGCGACGAGTTCTTCCACGAATGATGAGGGGCAAGTGGGGTTAAACTCACGATGGCGCGGACTGCGGGCGGTTGGCACTATTTGGTGTGGAGGTACGTGGAGGTTTGCGCCGGATGCCTTGCCAGTTAAATAGACCGTCTAGATCCTGAGTTCCAATAAGTATTTCGCTCAATCAACTTCAGTCTTGACTTGTTCATCCTCTAACTCCTCATCCTGAAGACTTTGCTTCAAACTTCTGGAAGCTTTGCGGGGTATTTCACGCTACATTCCGATAGTTCCGAACGTTGATAGCAACGCAACAAGAACATCACAATGGTCATTACAATCACAGGTGCTGAGACGAGGGATGTGCGGTTTCCGGTACGTTTTATCATGGATCAAAATTTGAAGGCAGAGCTGACCTCTCTGGACTAGACATCCCTTGACAAGACTGGTTCCGATGCTATGAACGCAGCGGGAGACTACTCTTCGGCATACTGTATCTTACATACAGACTCTGAGTTCAAGGGTCATGGCATGGTAAGTTCAAATTCTGTCTGATTTCATACAAAAAAAGGAAAGACATGAGTTCACAAGGTGATGAATACCTTGTAACATCGCTTTCTTGTCATACCTCTATCTTGACGCTTTGGGCGAAGTATTCTGTTCACAGCAGATTACCTCAAGTTCTATTCCGATTCGACGACAATCCGGTTCCAATCCGCTTACATTTTCTAGACCTTCACAATTGGTCGTGGTAACGAGATCGTATGCACTGCCATCGCCTATCTCGCGGACCGCATCAAGGGCCACACACTTGACTCCCTTGTCGCCAACTGGGGAAAGACATGGCGTCACCTGGTGAACGACTCTCAACTCCGCTGGATCGGACCAGAGAAGGGTGTTATCCATCTCGCTCTTGGTGCTGTTGTAAACGCCATCTGGGATCTGTGGGCAAAGTCGCTCGGCAAGCCTGTATGGCGTATTGTAGCAGACATGACACCACAGCAGATTGTCGATTTGATCGACTTCCGTTACATAACCGACGCTATCACTCCTGAGGAGGCGCTGGAGATCCTTACCAAATCTGAAGCTGGTAAGAAAGAGCGACTCGAAGAAGCTCTTAACAGCCAAGCCGTTCCCGCATACACAACCTCTGCAGGTTGGTTAGGCTATGGAGAGGACAAGATGCGTGGCCTTCTCAAGGAGACACTGGAGAAGGGATACAAGCACTTCAAGCTCAAGGTTGGAAGCGACATTGCACAAGATAAGCAGCGCCTTAGCATCGCACGAGAGATTATCGGTTTTGACAAGGGCAATGTGCTCATGGTCGATGCGAACCAAGTATGGAGCGTACCAGAGGCAATTGAGTACATGAAGGCGTTGAAGGAGTTCAAGCCGTGGTTCATCGAGGAGCCTACCAGCCCTGACGACGGTATGCATTCTCCCTTATCTCACTTGTGTTACATTGAATATTGACTGATTCCTTTAGTCCTTGGCCACAAAGCCATCAGAGAAGCCCTCAAGCCCTACAACATCGGTGTCGCAACAGGAGAGATGTGCCAAAACCGCGTCATGTTCAAGCAATTCCTCGCCTCAGGAGCCATCGACATTTGCCAAATCGACGCCTGCCGTCTCGGTGGTGTCAACGAAGTCATTGCCGTCCTCCTTATGGCTGCCAAATTCAACATCCCCATTGTACCGCACTCTGGTGGTGTCGGTCTGCCAGAGTACACTCAACATCTTTCTACCATTGACTACGTTGTTGTCTCAGGGAAGAAGTCGGTGCTGGAGTACGTTGACCACTTGCACGAGCACTTTTTCCACCCATCAAGAATCGAGAACGGATACTATGTTACACCCATGGATCCAGGTTACTCAGTTGAGATGAAGCCCGAAAGCATGGACAAGTTTAGCTTCCCCGGAGGCAAGGACGGGTGGTGGCAGAGTGAGGAGGCGAAGCCAATCTTGGAGGGCATTAAGATCTAAGTGCTGGCTTTGCAGATGATGTTTAAATAAGAGCGAGTTTAATGCATTGAATGATTACACGTTTTGGAATATGCATAGTTACTCATCCCACTGCATCAGGATATGATAGATATCCGAATTTGCAGCTTCCAGACCAGCGTTTCGCATCGGTGTGCATTCCTGACTACTCAGGTAGACGAACGCCGACCAGATATTCTAGTTACTGTCAAACTCTATTGCGTTTGGCGTTTCTGCTTCTCCAGGTCTTCGAGCTCTCCAACAAACTATATTTGTTTTTACTCGAAGAATTCGCCATTAAAGTCAGTAGGACCCCAACTACAGTCCTGATGCATTCCAGGATTTTCTTGAAGGCCTGAAATATCTTACTCTGCTCTCCAGGACCATCTCCATCTTCTGGTTTGATCTCCGCTTGTAAGGTAGGTGAATGCTACTAGGCCAACAGTCCTAGAAGATGATTGGATATTTCGAGATCTTCCGTAGTGGCGTTTTGACGGAGGCATCTGGACTCTAGTACCTAGTGTATACACTCCAGGTTCTAGAACTTGACTATCATCTTAGCTAGTACTGTTTCTGCGGGTCTTACGAACAAGTCATCCCACTCCTTTCTTCCGACTATGACACATTCCACTACTGTTTTTCTTATTGTTATTAACATCCTCTCTCTTGTACACATGAGTATTAAACATACGAACTTGCATATTTTATGTCAAAAATGTACCTTACGACCACCACCTTCATCCATCATCTTTCAATGGCCGCAGTATCCGCAGTGGAAGAAGTTTTGGTGACAGATAGTGAGAAATATTGCGGAAGGATTAAATGTGCCGATGAAATCCCCTTTACCAATATCGGACGTAGCTGTTTCCATGCCATTGTTCGAGCTTATAAATATCTTGCTTCTTCACGACGTTGATAACTTAAGGATGGCGGACGCTGTCCAATCTACCTAGGTATTGCGAATAGCGGCGGGGTTAAGGGTAGGTGAGAGCTAGGCCGGCCATTCTCAAATCACCGTTGCAGTACAAGCCTAAATTGAAATGGTGAAACCTCCATAAGAGAGCATGCTCTCAAGATCGCTGATCGTCAGAATGGTGAAAGATGCTAAGATTGTACCTAGATAGGCTCAACGCAAGACATGAAGTTGCGTTATCGGACTGTCGGACCGTTCCGTCCAGGCGGCTATTCAAGGCTCACGGCATACCTCCCGATACTGCATGAACACCTGCGTCTTCTCAACTCATCCGTATTATATATACTGTCGCTCAAAATCTGCTGCGTCTTACAAATTGAGTTGCTCACAACGACGCTGGCTGGACATCAACATTAAATCTACGGCTCCATCCATACCCCACCACCCCGCCTAGGTCACCGGAACCTGTACAGAAAGCATATAATCTTCAAGGGCCAGTTCTCACGATTAGTAACATAATGGCTCCTCCCCCAGCTCCAGGCGTCTGGTGCCCCGCGGTAACCTTCTACACTCCCGAAAGCGACACGGCAACCTTGGATCTCGCGGCACAGAAGCAGTACTTCACATACCTCTCCAAATCAGGTCTTACTGGTTTAGTCATTCTTGGCTCGAATGCTGAAGCGTTCCAGCTCACTCGCGACGAGAAAAAGGCATTGGTAAAATGCGCCCGCGAGGCTGTCGGCCCCAACTACCCCCTCATGGTGGGAATTTCGAGCTTCTCCGTACCACAGGTAATGGAGAATATCAGCGACGCCATCGAAGCCGGAGCGAACTACGGGCTGTTGCTGCCAGCCGCATACTATGGGCCTGCGACATCCAAAGAGGTTGTCATGGCCTTTTACAACGAGGTCGCACAGAAGTCTGAGTTGCCTATCGTCATCTATAACTTTCCGGGTATCTGCAATGGAGTGGATCTTGATTCTGTCACAATCGCTGCGCTTGCCAAACAAAACCCAGGGAAGATCGTCGGTGTGAAGTTGACATGTGGTAGCGTAGCGAAAATTACAAGGCTTTGTGCTGAGTTGCCGGGCGATACCTTTTCTACGTATGCTGGACAGGCGGACTGGATGGTAGCCGGCCTGGCAGTTGGAAGCGCTGGTTGCGTATCAGCATTCAGTAATGTCTTCCCAAGGGTCTGCTCGAAGATCTATGAGTTGTATACCAGTGGCGAGACACAAGCAGCACTAGAGCTACATCGGAAGGCGGCACTTGCAGAAAGCCCAATCAAGGCTGGTATTGCGCCCACGAAGCACGCCGTCAGCCAGTACAGTGCGAAAGCAGCCGGTATCGAGGGTGCAGAGGAGAGGCTTAACCCAAGGCGACCATACATGCCTGTTAGTGAGGCGCTCAAGACTAGTGTAAAGAGTGCCATGTCAGAGCTAGCTGTGATCGAGACCACTTGTTAGATCAGGTCTATGTATGGTCTTTCCAAATTAGTTCAGATAAAGATAATTGCATATTGCGCAAGAGCGATCCTTCCATGTTCTATGCGCAGCAAACACTTTTCAGCGTATACATTGTCATCTCTGAGAGCTTCGAACACGTGTTAGATGAGGGCTGATCCGCGATAATGTTTGCGTTGATATCGTAAAGGCATCCATGAGCCAAGAGAGACCCCAGCACTGAGAAAAGGGCAGACCCTGAATTTAGCGGCGCACGTGCCTTATCGATAACAATCATTCACGTCTCGAACTTTTTCCAACTCCATTCAGCACAACAGAAATGGCGGCGCAAAGAGGAGCAAACGTTGTTGAGAAGAAGAAGAGATCAAAGAAGAGAAGGACGAGGACCGAAGGTGCGACAAGCGTATGGAACAGACGGCGAGGCATGCGCTAACAATTGGGCAGTCTCGTCATCGAGCGAAAGTGACAGCGATGTCTCAAGCCCAAGGAGCCAAAAAGTGGCTGCGGTAGAAGAAGAGGCCAAGGTACTATAGTCGCGTCGAAGAGAGTTTGTCTGAGCTAACTTGGAAAAGGAGCCTTCACCGGCACCGACACCCGCCAAGAAAGAGAAGAAAGAGAAGAAGAAGAAGTCTCAAACTGCCAGTGCACCGGATGCTCAGCCAGACGAAGATGTTGTCATGAAGGATGCGCCAGCTCCTGCACCGCAAACAAAAGCAGCGTCAAAGGTCAGCAAACAGGCGCAAGAGGACTTCAGCGCTATCTATCTACGCAAAGTCGCAGCCGAGTTCGCCGATGATCTTGACAAAGTGCGTGAAGCGCAAGACTTCAAGGCGAGTAGCGTGCCGATGCTCATTCATGCACTCAAGCAAGGCGAAAGTCTGTTCAGTGTAGAAGAGCGAAGAAGGGTCGCTGGGGCTGCAAACGCGTAGAGAAAGAGGCAAGCATAGGCGGCGTTTGGTGTTTGACTTTTGGGATTGATTCGTAAGAAGATTATCTTAATGGAAATATGTGTAATCATGTAGAGGCGCCTAGGTCCGGTCCTGTCCATGCACCAAACGCCTTGCTATGCCGAATCTTGTGAAGACATCTAATACGCCTCAACTTCCATGCCGCTCCGCCATTCCAATTCGATTGTCCAAGCCAGTAGATTCGGATGCTTGATGACGACCATGTCGTGTGCCAGCTTCATGACTTTCTCTCTCTTGTCTGCTTTCTCTCCCGATGGCAGCACCATCAAGGTATCGTACGCTCTAGCTAGTAGCTTCTCTTCGTATTCGCGCCTGAGCTCGTCGTCTCTCGTCCAGTTGATGATCTCCTCGTATATGCCTTCTAGTGGACTAGCAGCATATATCTCATTCTTCACAGAAGAGGTAGTATTCTCTAGCGTCGCGCCGATGCGGAGTCGCCTCTCTTCTATGAGGCGCTTGATTGTGGAAGCCTCCTGTGTCTCGTGGATCTCGGCGATACGCGTATAGGTTTTGGAGGGGTCGGGCAGGCGACCTTCAAGGTACGAATAGACGGGCGAGGATGGTAGTTGTGTGCTAAGCGCACGTGCATATTGAGTCTTGGTGCCATGTGCGCGGGCATGATCGACGAGCTTATCGATGGCTGATTGGGACTTGTGCGCGTCGTCGCTACTCTGGTCAGCAATTCGCCCTCATCTCCAGTATCTGCACCGCATACAGGTTCATGTAGATTTGTGCCAACTCCAGGCCAACATCAGTGTTCTCATCAACCTTTGCGCCCTTGAGGCCCTCGTACATGCCCCTCAGTCCTAGCCATGCCTGCGCATCGTCGGGCTTGATCTTGGTCGCGTCATAATAGGCCTTCGCTGCTTCCTCAAACCTGCTCAAGCCGTCGTTCGCGCGCCCAAGGAATAAATAGGCAAAGTAGTTCTGGGCATCCTGCTCCAACACTGCCTCCGCTTGGTTCTTTGCTTCCTCCCAATCCTTTGCGCCAATAGCAGCCTTTGCGGCCTTGAGAGCGGTTTTTGTAGACATAGTGTTGTTTCAGGTAATGAGGGTAGGAATATGGCCGTCCGTACGGCGTTATTCGTGTTATGGAAGACCCATAAGGAGTGAATTGAACTGTGGAAGCTTTGGTGGGGCTTGCAGCGTCGAAAGAGCAAGCAATGACGCACGGCATGCTAGCGTCGATCCTGGTCCTCAGCCTTACCAAACGACAAACACCAACCTCGACCCTTCTGCAATTCATCAGCCACGACTTTTCGCCGCCTACTCTTCCAGGCGCTTTTGATAATTCCACTTCCTTTCGTTGAAGCATCTGTCAGCGTTCTACCTTTCATTGGCTGGGTAAAATATTCGGGTTGCTGTCATGGCGTCACACGCGGACAGTGCGCACGACCTGCTAGATCTCGACATATCGACATTGCGGCAATTCGTCGAGCTCTTCCCCGATGAGGGCCTATCTAAAGTCATCACTGGCTGGCTGAGCAGCGGCATATCGAAATATCCGCTAACGGAAGAGGGCGACTCAAGAGAAGGACCTGACCTGAGTGAGGGAGGGGTAGCTCTTACTCAAGATGTGCCCGTATCACAAGAGGACTGCTTGGTATTGATGACGGAAGGGATTGGGGAGGCTGCAAGGTCACCACTGGCACACTGCTTGCTCGGAGACTACTACCTGTCCTTGGAGGAGTACGAAAGCGCGGTCGAAACGACAAGAAAAGGCTTGAAGTACGCGGCTGCTGAGGCAAAAAGAACCGATTTGTCATTTCAAAGGACGCGCGACGCTTTGAGTAGTACACTTGCTACCGCGTTGGTCTATTATCAGGCCCCAAGGAACCATCTGGAGGCCAAAGGTATCTTCGAGTCCATCTTGAAGCGCAAACCACAATTCACCTCTGCACTCATCGGCATCGGACTGGTCTTGGAAGAAGAGGAGGAATACGAGCAAGCTTTCCAGTTCCTTGAAAAGGCGCTACAGCAAGATCCCTCAAACGGCCGCATAGGTGCAGAGTCAGCCTGGTGTCAAGCACTTGCAGGCGACTACAAAACTGGATTAGAACGACTCCAAGGATATCTCGAATACCCACAGCTCGATGCCTCCAAGCAACGAGGCCGTGAGCTCCGCGCCCAGACGCTTTATAGGATAGGTGTCTGTTTATGGGAGCTCGACCCGTCAAAGACTGCAAGGAAGGACCGCCAAAGAACGTATGCGAAGCTACTTGCGGCGATTAAGGCAAACCCGAATTATGCTCCAGCATACACTCTGCTCGGCATCTTCTACCAGGATTATAACAAAGACCGCAAAAGAGCGCGACAGTGCTTTCAAAAGGCCTTCGAGCTATCGCCCTCTGAAGTTATCGCAGCCGAGCGCTTAGCACGCCTTTTTGCCAACCAAGGCGAGTGGGACATCGTTGAGGTTGTTTCTCAGCGAGTTGTAGACTCTGGTAAAGCACGCCAAACCCCAGGCTCAAAACGAAAAGGTGTCAGCTGGCCCTTTTCCGCATTGGGTGTCGTGCAGATGAATAAACAGGAATACCAAAAGAGCGTCGTATCGTTCTTATCCGCACTGCGCATTAGCCCGGATGACTACTACTCCTATGTCGGCCTCGGCGAGAGTTATCATAATTCTGGACGATACAACTCAGCATCACGCGCGTTCAATTATGCAGAAAATCCTACAGATGGCGTTGTGTTGAAGAGATCCGATGAAGAGGGATGGTTTACCAAGTACATGCTTGCCAATGTCAACCGCGAGCTGAGTGAGTTTGACGAAGCTCTTGCAGGGTACGAAGCAGTATTAGCATCTCGTCCGAAAGAGTTCGGCGTCTCGATAGCACTCCTACAGACGCTTGTAGAGAAGGGCTGGCATTGCGTTGAGACAGGCTTTTTCGGAGAGGCTGCCGACAGCGCTACCCGGGGTATCGAGGTTGCGCTGACGATAACCGAGTACAAACCGGATGCTTTTAACCTTTGGAAAGCTGTTGGCGATGCATGCAGTCTGTTCACTTGGGTCCAGGAAAAGCTCAAGCAATTCCCTGTAGAGTTGATCGAGAAGGTGTTGCGCAGCAAGTCGGATATGAAGATCGATTTCGACGAGCACAAGGACATTGATGGGCTCGGACAGGATGCTTTGACTGCACTATCTACAGAAGAACACACTACTCTCGCAAAAGTGCTCAAAGCCTCAATACTTGCACAAAAGCGAGCAATATCCAGTTGTGCGCACGACATACACGCACAAGCTGTGGCGTGGTACAATCTAGGCTGGACTGAGTACAGAGCGCATGTCTGCTTAGAGCAGGAAGGCACTGAAGGTTTCAAATTAACAACATACCTCCGAGCAGCTATGAAGTGTTTCAAACGCGCTATCGAACTTGAAGCTGGAAATTCAGAGTTCTGGAACTCACTTGGTGTCATTACAACAACACTGAGCCCCAAGGTCGCTCAGCATGCTTTTGTTCGTTCCTTGCATCTCAACGAGCGCAGTGTGCACACCTGGACGAATCTTGGAGCGCTTTACCTTTTACAAAATGATCACGAGCTTGCACACACCGCCTTCTCACGAGCGCAATCACAAGATCCTGACTACTCGTTGGCTTGGGTAGGCGAAGGAATCATTGCATTACTTACAGGAGACTCCAACGAGGCGCTCTCCCATTTTACCCACGCGTTCGAGCTCTCGGAATCATCGTTGCTCTTAACCAAACGGCAGTATGCCGTCTCAGCTTTCGACTTCTTAGTGTCTTCGCCTTCGTCATCCAGCAACATCACGAACCTCATACAGCCTCTATTCGCGCTCCAACAGCTCAACATGCAAGTGCCTTACGATATCCCACATAAGCACCTAGCTGCACTGTTCCTAGAGCGTGTCGGCAATTACGATGCAGCAGTGACTGCTCTGCAAGCTGTGAACGAGACCGTCGAGCAAGAGTATGAGAAGTCAGAATCGCTGACATCACTGGCTCGTGTTGCACAAGCCAAGACGGACCTGTCTCGCAACCTTCTCGCTGTCGAGTCTTATGATTCAGCCGTGGAAGAAGCTGAGACAGTATTAGATCTGCTCTCGGAGCTAGAAAGTGACGCGGAACAGTCCGCGTTGTCCAAGGAACAGATCACAAAGACTAAGCTATCAGCTCGTCTTACAGCTGGTCTAGCACACTACTTCAGCGGCTCCTTCGATGCCGCCATACCATATTTCCGAACGTCGCTTGAGGCAACCGGAGCCAACCCAGACATCATTTGCATCCTCGCTGAAGTACTCTGGGCAAAGGGTGGAGAGAACGAGAAGCAAGTGGCCCGCGACCAACTCTTTACCGCGATAGAGAAGCATGAAGGTCATGTAGGCTTGTTGACACTCATCGGCGCCATGACAGTGCTTGATGATGATTTGGAAACCATGGAAGCCATCAAAGACGATCTGGACCGACTGCGCACGAACAAGGAGCTCAGTGACGATCAGCTCGCACGAGTGGAGAAGGTTGCTGAAGCCATCTCAGTCAGTTTGGGTGGCGAGGAACAAGAACTGGATGAGGCCCGACGCAGTGTCATGCTTGCGCCTTGGAAACACACTGGTTGGACTGAGCTCGCTGATGCTGCTGGAGGCGATATTTTTGCCAGTACACTTGCGAAGGAAACTGCGATGCGAAACGCGCCACCGATGGGTACGCTGAGCGCTGTTGGTTTGGCAGGTGCCATGGGCAGTACTGGCAACGTAGGAGATGCTCAAAGGGCAATTGTGTTAGCACCTTGGTGCAGTGATGGCTGGAGTGCCTTGGCCGAGTGTGTTCAAAGTGCTTGAACAGGAAAATGGCTATCTTGCAGGCATACGCTGAGAAGCGCCACACAGCTCTCATGGTTTCGAATAATTCATTTGCATCAAAGAAATTACTTAAAACATGTCATTAATACTGTATCTGTGTCGTCTACTAACTTCGACGTCCGACTACTAATGATGTCTTCGTACCACTGTCCAATGGTCATTTCACTGTCGTTGCGAGCCCTTTGAGGAGCGGTAGTGCATTGTCCGCAGCCGGTGTCCCCACATGAGAAGCTGTCCCGAGTAGACTTCCAAGCTTCGGGTCAGGCTTGGTAGCTTTGGAATTTCCGTCAGTTTTTGTAGAGTCCTTCCCCACTGCTTTAGCAACATTGACCGTGTCGCTCCGTTCGTCTATCGAGGCCTCCTTTGTTTCTTTGGTGACAGTGCCAGTATTCTCTGGCAAAGAAATCCTGAATTCGTAGTAGTAAGACGGAGGGTGCACCATTTGTGAGCCAAAGATAACATGGCCGCGCTTTTCCAACAATCGGACGGCAACATCGTAGATGAAATCGACCGGCAATATTGCCTTCGCCTCCCGAAGCAAGATTTGGTCACCAAAGTCTGCGTAGAAATCCACAAGGAGCGCCCTGACCCGACTTGTTTTGGTCATACCCTCGAACAGCATTGCCGTTGCTACAGCAGGGAGATAATGTTTCGATCTGGTAGAAGGTGACCAGGGTTTGAAGAGAAGCTCATTCAAGAAACTGTACATTCCCTCAACGATCTGGTTCTTGGATTTGGTATCTTGTAGTTTTTCCGCCAACATGTATAGCTGACACAGCGTCGGCCACTCTTCTGGACCTCTGGTGACCAGCTGATTTGCGTATACGAGGTTGAGGTATAGACGAAAAGTATGGGAATCTTCATCTAGTAGCGTTACTAACAATTCACCTTTCCCTTGTGAGTCGTTGCTAGTAGCGCGCTCGAAGAATTTGGATCTGGATGTAAAGAGCGTCTTATGCACACGAAAGTCTGCTTTGCCACTGCCTGTTCCGACGAGCACAGATATTATAGAATTGTCGAAGCTACGGACCATGAGTATTGATAGGATCCTCAGGTTGATACACTTACACCAGCATGTCCCACCCAAAAACTCGTTTGTCTTTGGCTTGAGGATTTGCATTACTGATCAAATCAATTTGCTTATTCGAGATGCTGGTGACGGTCGGATACTTGGGATTGCCGGGCATGATATCGAACTCTGGCATGATAAGCTAGTGAAAACTTTGAAGTATACTTGCGTGACTATGAATGTCACTGTTCTTTCGCTATATCTTATAATGCGAACCCCTGAGTGGTTCAGCCCAAATACGAAAGTTACGACTTCGTCAGGATCACAATTGTCTCAGCCGTGTATCGAGTACGCGTGCGTGTGTAACCACAGCAAACAACAAGTCGAACTTGGAGCTTGATTACAGGCTCATGAAACGATTACGCGACCTCAGAATTCCTAAACCTAGCCGAAGTGCGTCCTCCAGCGGTTATGCAAGGGTGAGGCGCAGCACTCAGGACCACCCCAACCAGAAGCGATTGTAGGATCTTGTTTTGTGTTAGCATCTGTTGTTCTGACATAGTTGGGGGCAATTCATGAACAGAAACTGCGTGTCATACTCCGCGTTTTGTAATACATGTACTTAGGAAAAGCAAAAGCACAGAAAAGGTTAGGTAACCTAGCTCGCGCTCATATGTGATGTGTGATTACTCCGTTTACGCCATGCCAACCGAGTAGGCCAAGCTAACGTTGCTACGAGCGAATTCATCCTTTTGAATTTACGTGACACCAAAGCTCATCCTGAAGATATACACTATCTTGTGTTTTGTTAGCTTCTCAGTTTGGATCACAGCGAATTCCTTTGGGGCTACGGTCTAGTGTGAGAACAACTAAAGAAAAAGCCTTCTTTGTATGTTATCGTTTGTATAGGAGTAGATAGTCGATGGCTCTCCAGAGCCGAAAAGTATACATCTCCATGGTTCGATGCATGGGGTGATCATAGGCTACTGCAAAAAATGATGAGCATTAAATCGGTCATAGACACGTTCTGATTTCAGTTGTTTCAGGTCATAATCTTGCGTGTGCTGCTGAATAGTCGAGAGTCCTACTTCTTCTCATCGTCCTTGGAGGGAGCCTCTCTCTTCTCCAGTATCTTGTCTACGATACCAAAATCTACCGCCTCCTGCGCATCCATGAAGTAATCACGCTCCATGTACTTCTCTATCTCTTCCAATGTCCTCTTCTTTGTGACATGCGACTGGTATATCTTGTTTAATTTATCCCGAATTCTCAAGATCTCTTTGGCATGGTCGGCAATATCGCTTGCCTTACCGCGGTATCCGCCACTCGGCTGGTGTATCATGACTCTTGCGTGTGGCAGTATGTATCGCTGGCCTTCGGCGCCACCTGCGAGTAACAAGGACCCCATGGAGGCTGCAATGCCCATGCATATCGTGCTGACTGGGCAGCGGATGTAGTTCATGGTATCGTAGATGGCAAGACCGGCGCTCACGCTGCCACCGGGAGAGTTGATGTACATGGATATAGGCTTCTCGGGGTTATCGGCTTCGAGGAAGAGGAGTTGTGCGACGGCGTTGGCGGACATGTAGTCGTCCACCTCGCCATTCAGGCAGATGATTCGCTCTTGGAGCAGACGCGAGAAGATATCAGAAGTTTTCCAGCCTCCACCCTACGAAGTCAGATAGGAAGCGAACAAAAGCGTCATTGGGCTTACAGTGGTCTCTGTCACGTAAGGTATGGGTAGCGAGATTGCTCGTGGTGTCTGTTGGTCTTGTTGCTGTGGGCTCCATTGCGGTTGGAAGCCGAATTGGCTTGACATGGATCGCGTGCCATGTCTATAGAAGCTTTGTAATGTCGATGGCCTTGTAGCCCGCCGTAGAAGAGAAGCCATGATGTGTGATGTTGGGGTAGCTCCCTCCTCCCCACACGAACGAAGCTATGGCGCGCCAAGCCGGGGGTCCGACGCAGTGGTTTGGAATCTTTCACGATGCCGCCTCATTACCTCATACGAATCACACAGTCGCCCATCTTCCTTGCCTGATGCCAGGCAGATGGACTTGTCGCCCGAAACTATGCTTGAGCCCCATTAGACTATCCTTGCGGGCTCAATGCCGCCAGTCTTCCGCTCACGTCCCAGGTCGCATCCTGAGGGGCCGCGACCTCGGCCCTACACGAGAAGATGCTCACCAGACGTTCCGCCTTCGTAGGGACGAAACAGCCAAAGAACTTCCATTGTCGCCATTGCTCGATCCGTTAGTCGTAGATGAAAGATCTCGTTTCGAGCGAACAAAAGAGCGCCCAAAATTTGCAGAATTTACACCTTTTCAGAAGAAGCTATGGATGAATCCATTCGGTATGCACATTCCTGTACTCAGTCAACACACGTATCTGACGGAGTAGCCCACGCGTTGGCGTCACCTATTCGCCATTGTCGCGCGGTACAAATCGTGCTCCCCACCGCTTTCTTGGTGTCTCTCAACGCCCGCCCCCACCCCACAACGAAAGACCCATGGCTCCTGCCTGTCTCTCTTACCACAGATAAGAAGCATCTTGGTCCTCCGTTTCGTTTTCTCGGGAGGCATCTGATCGCCGCATACATGGGCAAAAGGAGGGCATGGGAGAGAGCTCTTTATGCACGCATGAACGAGAAGTATGGTGGTCATAACTTGAGGAAGATGGTCTGGAGAGAGGACATGCCAGATTTCGTACTGGATGTCATGCGCAAGAGAGTAGTCAGCAAACTCAGCTGGAATTTTGGTTTCAGAGGCCGCTTGATTCCAGTCGCAAGCCCTCGCACTGAGGACATTGAGGACGTAGAAGACGTTTCCTGTGTGCTCATATTCCGATCGCTTCGTACTCGCGCGGACGATTTGCAAAATCAGGCAGATCGGATCATGACCGAACTGGAAAAATGGTCAAGCTACTTTACCAAGAGCTTCGAGGCGAAGCTCGACCCTCACGCTGCTCTAGAGGTCACCCACAAAGCCCCGAACTGGTATAGTGGCCCTGTTGTTTCTCATCTAAAACCTCGTGTGCGGTATCCAGAGCTTGAATTTCATACCACCGTCTGGCGAGGGAAGAAGGTTGCAGTCTACAGCTTGACAGATTTGCTTGGAGAAAACAAGGCGCAAGAATTGATAGAAGGCAGTCATTACGCTGGCGAGAGATCTGTCGTAATCAAGGCAGCAAGACACAACGTACCGGTTGAGATACTACTTATGCAGCTTCAGGCGTACATCGCCCAGCCGGGGCCTTGAACGTCCAAACAAACAGTCTAATAGATTTTTCTGGTTCGCTCCTTGTGCCGCAGATCACAACTTCTCAGGTCTTGATGCTCTCACTCATCCTTCTCTCCCAATTGGACTTTGTCATCCCAAACATGTGCTCATCCTTGACCTCACCATTTTTCACAATATGACCCTTCAGTACACCTTCGAGCGCATATCCATTCTTTTCAAAGCATCGCATGCTCCCCACGTTACCAGAAAATACGCCGGCGTAAAGCTTGGTCAATCGCTGTCCATTGTTCTCGTAGCTGTCAAACGACCATGTTGTGAAGGCTTCCAGCGCTTCTGTCGTATACCCCTGTCCCCAAAATGACTTTCCAATCCAGAAACCAACTTCCGCAGTATGCGCGTACACATCCATGCCTAGTTTCAAACCGATACCCCCAATAGCGACATCTGGAGATGACCGCTCACAGATGACGAAATGATGTTGATGTGGAAGTACGAGGTTCATGTTGATCCATTGCTCGGCACTGGAATGTGTATATGGATTGGGAAAGGTGTTCCTCATGTATTGAGCGACCAGCGGGTCATTTGCATGGAGACTTGTGTTTGGGGCATCTTCAGGACGCATAGGACGGATTATCAGACGCGTAGTTGTTACTATGGGTAATGGAACTGATGCGGTCGTCTGTGTTGGTGTCGATTGTCCGGCCATGTTGGCTGAGATGCAGTATACCAACAGATGCTGCCAAAGAAGAAGGATGCAATGAAGCCAGGGTGCCAAGGAGAGTTCAAGGTGTATGCAGTCTTAAACAATTTATCTTCTTCACAGCCGTTGACTCATGGCTGGGATACGAAGACGCAGGATCAGGCTAGACGACGCGAAGCAGACGCACCTTCCTGGTTAGGAGGGGTAACTGGTGGCCTGAGATAACTGCACTCACTGATTACCATCAAACACGACCAGGATGTGGTCATCACCATCAGGTAATGAAAGACTTGATCATTGTAACCTGCACGCTGGATCATAGTCCTGCAAGGTTGGGGTGGAGACATGTGACTAGAAGAGGGGTGACGTCGTGTGGAGGTGATACTAGCGCAGCGCGCTAAAACGCGTCTGTCGCGTAGGCTATCCAACGCTCAGAATTCCTACCTTACATCGCAACGGCGCTCTCATGTCGTCTTTCGGAGCAAAGTGAGTCAGAACACTGAGGATACTTTACACGTCTAACAAGGTTATAGGAAGGTTGTGAGAACCTACTCGCGACAAAAAAAGCGCCAACTCTACGATGAGGAACCGCCTACCAAACGAAGACGCGTCGAGACAAGTATCGAATACACCAAATCCACAGCCTTAACGTCACTCGATGCTGCTCCCACGGTCATCGTATCGTCCCTTGAACGCGGAAGCTCTACCCCTCCTCCATCCAGCCCAAAAGATTCGCCCGCAGTCTTCTCAGACGAACCGCCTCAGTCTAGTCCACCGTCGTCCCCAGTCCCACGCAGCTCGCCGCCGCCCGTTCAGAAACGGCGGCCGGTCTTCTCGATATTCAAGAAGCAACTCAAGCCTAGAGCGCCCGTCAAAGAAGCCCTTGTAGAACAGAGTCACAATGTGCAAAGCTCGCCGAAGCCAGTGCCAAAGAAGAAGCAGATGGTGCAGATGCAGTTAGACTTGGCGTCAGAGACGCGGAAAACGTGTAAGACATGTGGGATGCAATATATACCGTCGCATGCTGAGGACGCGGCGCTACACAAGAAGTTTCATGCGATGAACCTTGGTGGAGTGGACTTCAGCAAGCCAGTCGTTGAGCGCTTCAGGAAGAATCAGATATGGAGTGGTGAGGGGGGCTTTATTGCTGTGGTCGGAAGGAAGGATACACTGGCGCTGCGCAACCGGGCCAGCGACGTGCTGAAGGTCGTGAATACCGAGCTTGCAGCTGTTCCAATATCAGACGATGAGCTTTGGGGACAGACCAACCGGACGACCTGTGCAGACGCGATTGAAAGAAGAATTGCGAGTTCGAAACAGCAGTCCTCAGTGAAGAGTGAAGCAAACGCGCCCCTTGTCGATCGATTCAAGATATATCTATACATCCGAGGCAACAAGTGCGTAGGAGCATGCCTGGCGGAGCGTATTTGGGAAGCCTATCGGGTCTTGAACTCCACCACTTCACTCGAACAGGAAGATGGAGACGCTGGCGTGTCGCAGAGCTCTTCTATTTCTATCAGCACCGACTCGGATCCAGTGACCCTGGGCATATCGCGTATATGGACTTCGAATCAGCACAGAAAGGACGGTATTGCTACCAGACTGTTAGATTCCGTAAGATCCGACTTTCTCTATGGGCTAAACGTCGACAAGGCCAAAGTCGCTTTTAGTCAACCGACAGAGAGTGGAGGTAACTTGGCGCGAAAGTGGTTTGGCTGCCAGGCTGGATGGCATGTGTATGTCGACTAGCGTACTGTAGAGGCAGAGATAGAGATAGACGTAGATAGCTCTGGTCGCTGCGAAGATGACTGCACATTAGCGGTGATCCGCGGTTTCAGAGAACTGGACTGATGCCAATTCTTACAACAAGCCTATTCTATAATACGAGTCAGTTAACGCACAAAACCCATCTGTAAAACACAGATATCGTCTGCAAGATTGTGACACATGCATATCCGAGTTCTCCATTGGTAGGCAACAATGCGTACGAGGTACGATGGTGGGGTCTGTTCGTTGTCCCGCGCCGGATCGCCAGCACCTGCATATCGGCGATGATCAAGTCGCAGAGCCGACCATCAGCAGCAGCATTTCTTGCGCTGCACCATCTCACCGCCTCACCCAAGCTTCTTCCATGTACATAGAATAATGCATTGTTTTTAACGCCCGCCATGTCGTCCGGGAACCCTTTCCGCCTTTCTCAAGCTCCTCGTCAGCCCGCGGCCGTCCCGCAGACTTCCTTCATCAACACGGATAGCAGTGTGTCTGAGGCGCGTAGGGAGGACAACGACCATGGTATTCCCTCGCCTTGCCTTTCTGCGTCTGCTGGCATTCAAGGAGTAATTGTCTTACAGTGCTCGAAGATGCCGCCCCTCCGCCGACAAAGACAAAGAAGTCTGTCCGCATACTTTCTCCCACTACGACAATCCCACCCTACTCGTTTGACGACAAGCATGCGACTCTGAGCGAGCTCAGAGACAGGCGATCGAGCCAAGGTCCTCCTGCGAGCCCTCCGCCCCCCGTAACACCCGCTGGCTATGCCAACAGTTCAGTCACAGCAGGCGAAGCCAATGCCCAAGTTATTGGGAAAGACGCCATGGCAGTAGCAGACGTGCCCCCAAGTCCAAGTCCATACGTGAACCACCCCCAAGCGACCCTATCGCCGAGCAACGTACCGGCGAATCCGTTTTCGAGAACGCTGGCGTCACTAGAACCGCAAGAAAGGGAGAACGACGAGGAGCGGACGAATACGGGTAGACCAATGTTGGGCAGCAGCAGGGCATCTTTGGACGTAGAGAGCTTCAAGAACCTACTCATGACCGGAAAGCCAACTCCGCGACCATCCGGTCCGCCTCCGCAGCCTACAAGCGTGTCACAACCACTTGCTGGCGCACAGTTCGAGACTAGCAGTAGCACAGATACCTCGTCAATCTCGCGGCAGTCGCTATTCGAGCCCCCACAAGAGACACATGCCGATTCTCCGCGTACATCTGTCGATATGGCTGGATCCGACGAGGACGAGAGTATGGGGCTGGTATCCGAAGTGAAGAAGGGCAAAAAGAAGCCCCCACCTGCACCCAAGCATCGACACGGGAAGCTGGTCGCGCCGAGACAGCCACAGACAGTGTCTTTCGAAAGCTTTGCCGCTACCGAACCAGCACAAGCACCTTCTCCTCCAGCTATTAGACGAACCGACAGTTCAGATATGCAGAAGCCACTCCCACCAACCCCGGTTGCTGCGCCGCAGTCCCTCCATATCAGCACACAGGATACGACACCACTACAGTCCCCACCAATACTACCGATAACAAGTCAGCCTTCAACACCTTCAGAGGGTTCAACTCGACAAAAGAAGACGCCTCCGCCCGTGCCGTTATCTCGGAGACAAAGTCAGCTCAAGACTACAACTACAGGCAATAGATCGCGAAGCAGTTCAAACCTTACTATATCCTCCCAACATTCAGTCGATGCCCCACAGAGCCCGGGTCCAAATACCCTCGACCCATTGTTCGGAGCAAAATCACCACCCCCTCCTCCACCCTCCCGGCACGGCGCACGGCTTGCGAACCTAGGCAACTCAAGCGCAAACTCTTCCAGTACCGAGTTGCCACAGCGGTCGAGCTCGGGTCGAATGCCGAGATCTGTTCCTGAGCCTCCATCGTCTCGTCGGAGCACTCTAGAGTCACAACCTTCTTCGCCTGCACCTAGTGTGCACCGCACCTCATCTATATCATCTAATCGCAACACCCATCGCAACGTCTCCGGAGAAAGTACAGGAAGCAATATGCCGCCACCTCCGCCACCACCAAGACGTCGACAGTCAAATCGCTCAAGCCTTGACCAGCAAAGGCCTCATGTGTCCTATTCCTCTCCTACAGAAAGTCGAAGAACGAGCACAGAGTATCGTCGCACAAGTACAGAGCAGAGGCGATCGAGTGTAGCTAGCGAGAGTTCGCTGAGAAGAACGTATGAACCTGTGGATGAGAAGAGCGAGAATGAACACGCTTTGTACTCGCCAATTGAGGAGAGCGAGAGAAGGCTAGGTCTTGATGAGAACATAAGCGGTGGAAAGGATGGCGAAGGGAGGAGTGATTCGAGTAATATCCTTGACGATATGGAGAAGTTTCAGCGCGAGATTGATGAGCTGAGGACGAGATACAAACAAGCGGGATAGTGCCTTGCTTGAGCAGTCACTAGATGGGAAACACGGAGAATAGATATTGGCATGAATAGTTTCCTCGCGCGAGAGACTTTGAGCATCTTGCAAAGACATTTCAATCGATACGCATACATCCTTGTTGTCTGACTATTCAAAATCAAG